ACTGCCTGTGATATCTTATGAGAAACTGATGATACATTCCTCTATTTAAAATATGTAATAGCTCCTCATAACAACGGTTTAAAGTCTAATCTCTTTAGAAAGTTATGTAAGCTCAGCTTTCCTCCTTTTCATAAATATCTGGTTTCTTTCCAGTGTTATGAAATACTTTTCCATTCTATTATCCAGCTTAACAAGGGAATTCTTGCTCCCCAAATGCTCCCCACTTCATTCTATTTCTTCTGCTTAAAACATCCATTTTGTTTTGCCTCCCTAATGAAACCAACTTACCCTAAAAAGCCGAAGTCTGACAATTCTGTGAAGTCTTCTGAGTCACCATTGTTTTTTACTCTATGGCTTCTAGTACTTTGTCTGTGCATGTGTGTATGTGTGTATCCTTATCATGTGTATAGCATGTATCACACTGTACAGGTGATATTTGGCAATTATTATTTTAATTAAGAATTGAGATAATACAAAATATGTTATGTGATGATACTGAAATGAAACTAGAAATCAATAATGAAGATATCTGAGAAATCTCAGATATTAGGAAATTAAACAACCTTCTGTCTGGGCGCGGTGGCTCATGCCTGTTATCCCAGCACTTTGGAAGGCCGATGCTGGCAGATTACCTGAGGTCAGGAGTTCAAGACCAGCCTGGACAACATGGCAAAACCATGTCTCTACTAAACATACAAATATCAGCCAGGTGTGGTGGCATGCATCTGTAATCCCAGCTACTCAGGGGGCTGAGGCAGTGGAATAGGTTGAACATAGGGGAAGGAGGTTGCAGTGAGCTGAGATTACTCCACTGCACTCCAGCCTGGGTGACAGAGAGAGACTCTGCCTCAAAATACTATAATAATAATAATAAAATAAATCATAACAAAGAGGAAGTCACAAAGGAAAGGAGAAAATATTTTGACATAAATATAAATTAAAACAACGTATCAAAATGTGTGGCTATAGCTGAATCAGTACTTGGAAGGAAATTCATAGTATTAAATGCTTATATGAGGAAAGAATAAAATCTCAAATCAGTGGTTCAAGGTTTTATGTTAGGAAGCAAAAAATGGGAAACATCTTAAAATCAAATCAGACATACACATAAAGAAACAAGGAATAGTAAAACTGAAAGGACATGAATTATACAAATTATCAATATCTAAACATAAAAAGGACATCACTGCAACTACTACAGACATTAAAAAGGGCAATTAGGAAATACTAGGAGCCACTTTGTAGAGAGATAGAAACCAAAAAGAAACAGTAAACTGAAAACTTGAAGGATAAAAATCCAACATAAATTCAGCAAATGGAAGATACAAACTACCAAAGGTCACTCATGAAGAAATAGATAACAAGAATAGTCTTACAACAAGTTAACACATTGAATTTATATTTTCAAACCTTTTTAATGAAGCATGGCCCAGATATCTTTACTGGTTAATGAAATCAATCATTTAAGAAAGGAATAACATCAATTATTTTTGTGCTTTTCCAGAATATTGGAGAGGAGGAAATACTTCCCAATTGATTTTACAAGGCCAGCATAACTTAGATACCAAACCAGACAAGGACATTATAAGAAAACAAATCAACATGCCAATATACTTTATGAACATAGTTTTTTTAAACAAAATGTTAGCAGTTGAATCCAGAAATACAAAAATAATAATATACCATGATTGAATAGAATTTAGCCTTGAAATGAAGGGCTGGAAAAACAGTAAAAAATCAAATAATGAATTTCGTCATATAAAAAACTAAAGGAAAAAAATGTGATCAGGCTTGGCAGGACATGAGGGAGGAGAAATGGAGAGAAGTTGGTTAATGGGTACAAATATACATTAACATAGAAGGAATAATTTCTAGTACTTGATAGTACAGTAGGGAGACTACAGTTAACACTAATTTACTATATATTTTAAAATAGCCAGAAAAATTGGAGTACCCCCAACAAAAAGAAAAGATAAATGTTTGAAATAATTAATAGTAATAGAGGCAAAAAAAATTTGCAGAATTCAGCATTCATTTATTTTTATGCATTTATGATTTTAAAAATGAAGAAAACCAGAAATATAAAGGAATTTCCTCCACTTGATAAAGAGAACCTGCAAAGAACACACACACAAACACACTCTTCATGGTAAAAAACTGAATGACTTTCTCCTAAGACAGGTGAAAAGGCAAGATGTCCACTTTCAACAATTCTATTGACTATTATATTGAAAGCTCTAGTTAGGGTAATAAAGCAGGGAAAAATGAATGAAAGACTACAGATTGGAAAGGGGAAGATGAAACTCTATTACAGATGACAAGACTACTTATATAGAATTTCCTGCAGATTCTACAAATAAAAGATAGAATAATTGCATTTAACAAGTCATAGGCTATAAGTTCCATACAGAAAAATCAATTGTATTTCTATATAATCACTATAATCAATAGAAAGTTAAGATGTAAAACAAATTACCATTTACAACAGCACCAAAAGCTGAAGTGTGTTTGTAGAAGCCTAAAAAGTTGTGCAAGAACTATATACTGAAAACCATCAAATATCGATGAACTAAATCAAAGAACTTATAAATAAATGAATAAATATATCATGTTAATAAACCTGAACACTTGACATAGTAAATTGGTTTATAATTTCAAGGTAAGTCCAGTCAAAATGTCAGCAGGATTCTTTGCAGACATTGACAAGCTGATTCTAAAATTTTTATGGGAAGACAAAGAAGTGGTCCAGCCCAGTGGCTCACACCTGTCATTCCAACACTTTTGGAAGCTGAGGCAGGCAGATCAATTGAGCCCAGAAGTTGGGAGACCACCCTGGTCAACATGGCGAAAACCTGTTTCTACTAAAAATACAAAAATTAGCTGGTGTGGTGGCATATGCCTGTAATCCCAACTACTTGGGAAGCTTTGGCAGGAGAATCGCTTGAACCCAGGAGGTAGAGGCTGCACTGAGTCAAGACTGGGTCACTGTGCTCCAGCCTGGGTGGCAGAACAAGACGCTGTTTCAAAAACAGCAACTACAGCAACAGCTAAAATTAAATTAAATTAAATTAAAGACAAAGAGCTAGAATAGCCAAAATTATTTTTAAAATAACAGTTAAAGGAATCATACTACTTGACTTCAAGACTTTCTGTGAAGCTATAGTAAGACTGTAGAATATTTGCAAAAGTACAGAATTAACTCAATGAAAAAGAATAGAAAGTCTGGAAATAGAGCCATTAATATGTGGCCAAAGGACTTTTGAGGAAAGTAAAATTGATATTATTTTCCACATATGTGGGTGGAACAATTAGATATTTGCATGGAAGAAAATCTGACTTATATCTTGTACTGTATACAAAAATTAACTCATAATATAACATAGGCCTAAATATAAAACCTAAAACTACATCATTTCTAGATTATATGAGAAAATCTTTGTTAATGTGAATTAAATATCTATTAGATGAAACATCAAAAGTATGATCTATGAAAGAAAACTGAATTTCACCAAAATTTTTTAAATTCTATTTTTTAAGACACTCTTAAATGACAAGACTAAAAAAATCCAAAACACATATTCTGATAAAAAAATATCTATTCAAACAGAAACAGCTCTCAAAACTCAATAAACAAAACACCAATTTAAAAATGGGCAAAAGTTTGAAGAAATACTTTACCAAATAAGATAGATAGATGGCACACAGCACATCAAAATATGCTCCACATTATAATTAAGTGCAAATTAAAACCACAATGTGGTATCACTAAATATATATCAGAATGGCAAAAAAAATATGTGCTGCTGGGAATATGAAGCAGCTGGAACTTTTATACATTGATGGTTACACTAAATCTGAATTACAGTTTAGAAGCTTTTTGTAACGTTAAGCGTGTACTTATCATATGACCCCACAATTTCGTAAGTGAAATAAAACTTATGTTTGTCTGAATCTTGTATGTGAATATTTATAGCAGCCTTATTTTTAATCCCTGAAAACCTGGAAATAATGCAATTTACTTTCAATAATGAATGGATAACCAATCTATTATACACTCATACAATGAAATACTACTCATCAAGAAAAATAAACTTACACATGATAAAAATTAATCTCTAATGTATTATGTTAAATAAAATAAACTGAATTAAAATGGCTACATATGTTATATAACTTCATTTGTTGATATTCTGGAAAACGCAAAATCATGGAACAGAAATTTGTTCAATGAGCCCACCATGGATGACTGAATGGGTTGGACGATGAGACCATTCCATGTAGATGAGAGGTAACTCTACCTCTTATAAAGTGAGAGAAGGTTGATTGTGAAAGAAGAATTGAGGACTCTGTGATAACAGGTGCATTCCTCTGTTGATTACTTTTTGGAGTATATAGGGACATTAAAGACTGGACACTGTTCACTTTAGAACTGCTTGATCTTGCACATCTCTTGGAATGTCTTTGTTGTACCCTTAAAGGTACATGCAGGCTAGCTGATCACTACTACTCCAGTGTATTAGCCTGATTAAATGTCCCTATGCAAAGGCAAGTACAACTCTAGCAATAGTTACATTTTTATTTCTCCCAAGAGACTTAGAGTTCCTTAACAAAAAAGATAATGTATTATTTGTCTTCTATCATCTAGGTGTTATGCAAAGCCACAATAAACTTCACAAATATATGAATTGAGTGAGTGAATCTATAATTCTAATGACTCGAATGAAGCTTAGAATTTTGGTTAGCAATGAAAGAAATACGTCATGCACTTGCTGAGGTCTATGGTTCACAGAACCCCAAGGTACATCAAGAACTGTATCAAAATACCTCATGTACCCTTCAAATATATACACCTACTATGTACCAACAAAATTTAAAAAATAATAAAGCTCTGAAAATAATTAATCAAATTACAAAAAAATTAATCAGATTACATAGATGTGGTTAATTTTGAAATTTTTGCTTTTTCATGACTATAAACATTTCTTATAATAAAATATTACCTGATTTATTGACACATTCTTTTCCAAGCAGTTTGTTCACAGTACAATAGAAGTCATCAGTGCAAAGACACTCTTTAAATCGGAAATTGCTTTCCACTAAGTACTGGATACTCAGGTTACAGTATGATGAATTCTTCATCTTGCAGGGGTCACCTGGATCTCACAATCAAACACATAACACTATAGATACAAATCTTATTATAATTTTGGACTCTTCCTCCCCAAAGGACTTTTAACATATTAATCTGAATAATTAATTAATATGGTAAGATTATCTGGGGTTGCTGCAGGATGCCCATATAAGTGACTTTTTAAAAAAAAACATGTATTTTCATTGAATATTTTCCATAATGTACTTTCTATATTAAAACTTGCTGCATTTCAAAATAGCTTTTTCCTACTTAGAACATCATTTCTTGCTTTTCAGTAAAAATAAGGCTACTCTTACACGAGGTGACCAGAATGCTCTCTAATCTTAGTGTTTTATCAGCTTATCTATTTTATTAGCTATTTTGTCATAATCTGATCTTTCATTTTCATGTCATTGTAAGACTATAGTAAGAGGAGTGCAGGCGGCTTTAAATTTATCATTAAAAATTATGTGGTCCTGGCACATAGCACTCAACAAATATTATTGAATAAGTCTTTCATAATTACCAATATTTCTTTTCCTGCATTAATTTAAAAATATATATTCCTCTACCTGAACATTTTCTTTTAATTATTCTGAATAAAAATACTTGAGTTTATTTCATTTGTACACTTGAGAATATGTATATTTCAGCTTCATATATAAAATAATTATGCAAATATTATTGCAATTTACTGCAAATGACTTGCTATTTGTAAACTGAAATTAATAAATAAGTTACTATTTGTGACACCTAAATATAATATTTTGACAGCATATTTTAAATTGCCTTATAAAATGCAGCAAGAAGTTTAATCATCAAAATAAATAGATTATACAATGTTCTACTGTATAAATTGACTATGTTCTACTATAGAGTTTATTCTATTTACTTTTAGTGAAAGGAGTCTTACTATAATGCTCTCATTCAATGCTTATTTAGCTACTTGAATATTCAAAATATATATATTTTTTTCTTTTTAAGGAAATACAGGCCGGGCACAGTGGCGCACACCTGTAATCTCAGCACTCTGGGAGGCCGAGGCGGGCAGATCATGAGGCCAAGAAACTGAGACCATCCTGGCCAAGATGGTAAAACCCTGTCTCTACTAAAAATACAAAAATTACTATGTGGTGGCGCGCACCTATAGTCCCAGCTACTCTGGAGGCTGAGGCAGGAAAAAGAATTGTTTAAACCCGAGAGGCGGAGGTTGCAATGAGCCAAGCTCCAGCCTGGCAACGGAGCTATACTCTGTCTGAAAAAAAAAAAAGAAGAAAGAAAAACAAAAGAAAAAAAGAAAATAGCAGTCACTCTCCAATATTCACATTCTCAACTCTTGAACCTCCCCACAAATGTTTGGAAGGTAGCACAAGCTAAAAACAAAACTATAGCTTTACTTGTTCTTGACATAGAATTGAAAATACTGTATATATGTTTCAAGAATATAAAATGTACATTATACATGGACAAATACACAATTATTATAACAAATCTTATTTTTTCTATTTTATCATTGACATATATAATCAAAATAACCTTTTATTTGAAAACAATACTGCCATGGTTCTGAGAAGAATGCGTAAAATTGTAGCATTATACATGGCGTGAAAGGTAAGAAAATAATCTGAAATCTTGAATAATGCTGCCCTCAACATCAGTAATTAAAGCACTTTAGTAATTAAGAAAATCCTTTTGTAATTAAATTTGCTAATACATGATTAAAAGTGAATCAATTGGAGGTCAAGACTGAGTAAGATACTTAGGGAAAAACTTAGTTCTTAGGATAATGACGAAATATCAAATCCTATTTTTATCTTAGTAAAAATAAATCATTTAAGTGTATTCTTAGCAACTTGTTTACCTGAATCATTGCAGGCATCTTCCATTATTCTCCAAGCATGTTTACATCCATTTGCATCATGTAGGCATTGCTCTCTTAAATATGTGCAATTATTGGTTTGGGAAGTGTATTCATTTTCCAAGCTTAGCCCCAAAGCTTGAATAACAACAACAACAAAAACAAGTTTGTAATATAAGTTTGGCATCCATTTTCTTCAAATATAAGTTATTCATGATAAGGAGCAGAATTATGGAAAACAACATGTAGTGAAATTATTGATGGTGGGAATAACCTTAACCTCCTCTCTAGCTGTAGATCTATACTTCTTTCTATAGGTTCTTAAATGAATTACTTTAAATTTGCTCATTTTGACTTCTCATCATCTATTCTTCAATTATACATTATTTTTATTACTATTGTTCCATTAAAACTGCTCTTAAAAATGTCTCTACCCCTTTAAAATCTAACTTAATGTTTTTAAACTTTATCTCGCCATTGAGCATTTTGTTGACTTTTTGTTTTTGAAACTTTTCCTTTGCCAGTCCTCCCTTCTTGTTCTCTTGATATTTATCCACTTTGTATTTTCTGACCACAGCTAAAATTCTTCCCAGGATCATTTTACTTTTCTAGTAAAGTATAATTTTAGCTTAGGTTCTCTTCTCAGACCTCTTCTATTTTCATTTTATACATTCTCTGCAGAAAATTCCATGTACTCTTATGGTTTGAACTAAAGTCTGATGATTCTCAAATGTGTAATTCAATCTCAGTATTTCCAGTGTTCCAGTCATAGATACGTAATTGTTGTCTCTACCTGAATGTTTCAGAAACACTTTCACAGGGTCTTCATCATCATTGTTCCACTGTGGTCCACTCTACTTCATCCATAATGCCACAATTAACATAAGCACCAAAACTAGAAATCTTGGTTTTGTGGTGGACTATTTTCCATCCTCAACTTCACTCTCCCATATTCATTCTTGCTAAATTTGTTGACTTTCACTTTGAGCATTTGTTTAACTTATTAGTCAGTCTACCTCCAGTTTGAATCTTATTCAGAACCTTATTCAGATAGGCTCTGTATAACCCCTAATCTACCTAATGCACTATTCTAGTCTTGCCATTTTTCTGTTTATATCCTTTAAATGATTTCTCATATCAGGGCTCTCATATTCCTCACCATGTGCAATCTGGAAGACCTCAAGCATTTATCATTTCCCAAATGATCCATGTTGTCTTACACCTCTGTGTACATACTGTCTGGTTCCTGATGAGCATTTTCTTTCTTTTTCTTCTGGAATAACCCTTTTTGTTGTTTAAAACTGAACACAATTATTAGCTATTTTCTGGAAACTTTACTTGAATTCTATCCTCCCCTTTTTCCACACCCAAAATGAATTTGACATCTTTCATCCACTTACTAGAACTGTAGGGATCCCCCAATTACAGAATTTACTGTTCCGTAGTGTATATATTCATGTGCTTGTTTCCACCACTGGATTGTACAGCTTCACCCACAGACATTAAGGATAATTTATAACTGTATTTTGTCATCAAACACAATTATGCAGTATAGGTATTCAATAAATAAATACTGACGTATACCCAACTTATTAGTTGTTTATATATAAGATATGTATAAATAACTGATAACATCTAAAAAAATAATACCTTCCAGATATTTACAAGTTACTTTTGCTAGAGGAGAAATACAGCAAATTTTCCAAAAACAATCAAGAAAATAGCAATGTTAATTTAATGTGTTACACAAGTTAGTCAAATTGATTCTGCAAACATATGAACTGACACTAGCCAAATCAATTAATAGAAAAAAAATGGGGATTGCAGTTGTGTTACAGAGACAGTTACAGTAACTGTCATCAAGAGAGTCAAGCTATAACTAAATAAGAGTGAAATTATTTGAATTTTTAAACGCTGTTGTTAATCATGAATCACCTGTGACAATATAGAGCGATCGGCTTCAAGTAAGGCCTTGAAATCTTTTTTTTTTTTTAAATCTTACCTCTTTCCAAATCTCATCTTATAAGAAGAATCCAAGACAACTGATTGGACCATATGTACTACTTGCTGGGTCACTGCACTTGGCGATTAGGCCCATGGGTGTAGCTTGGTAACATTTTCCTTGCTGAGGGCTGGAGTGGAAATGGACATATCAGCTTTCTGTTTTCTCATGTGTTCATGGACAACCACATCTAGCCAAGCCCTTGTACTCTTTAGTTGGCAAGCCCAGAGAAAGAAAAAGACGACCCTTTTGATCCTAGCCCAAAGTTACTTGGTCAAATCCAGTTTTTCAAAGACCCAGAAATAGGAATTTGAAGTCATAAACTCAACTTATAAGAAAATGGTTATTAATGTCATTAATCATTATATCTTGTGAAAAGCCCCCTCAAGAATCTTATAAGTGATAATTTCCTGGATATATCAAAATTTCATCAGTACTTCAGAGTAATAATCACTTGGAAATACTACATGTTATCTTCCCCAATTATGTTTTACTTCCTTACACATTTTCAGTTTTTGGTTGAACAAGCTACTTAATAGATTATTTTATAGGATTTTCCACACCATCTACTCAGACAAAATATTGACTCAGCTAAGAAAACCACCTCAATGATTTGGTCCACAAGAATCAGAAATATAACTTTACCTTTCCAAAATCTGCCTTATTCATTCCTGACTATGATTTGTGGTTTTATATTTAACCTAGGATTTTTCAAGAATTTTCCTGTAATGCTTAATGAAAAATAACTTCTATTTTTGGATAATGCTGCAAATTATATCACTCTTTTAAAGACGTATAGGACTCATTATCCTATTAAATAGTCTGAGTTTTTAAAATTCATTGTTTTCCACATTTCTTTGCCAACAGACATTTTCCTCATTATAAGACCTATTTAATGTCAAACAAGCATTCTAAAAAATATAATATGGGAAATGTTGGTACAACCTATCAAATAGTATAATTTTAGTTCTAACAATGTTAAGAAATTATTTCCCTCCTTCATGCAACCTGGCGTCAAGTTAATTTAGAAGTAAAAGATGAAAATAAGACGCCATTGCCTTTTCAACTGAGGTCATAATGAGTCTGTAATGTATTTTGTGAGCTTCATTATGTTGCTGCCTGATCTATAAAAATTATAGTTTCCTATATTTCTCTTTACAACAAAAAAAGAACTTTAGAAATATTAACAATCTTTATAAAAATAAGAAAATATTTTAGAAATAATTACAAAAAGCAAAATTCTGGAACAATGGAAGACTATTACTTAAACCAAAGAAAAACTGAAAATATATAAGGGATTTCTCTCCTTCTTAACTTGTTTCCTTGACTTGATATGACTCTCCTTTTATGTTCAATACAATTTAAAGTAAACTTTGCTTTCCTGCCCACAAGTATGCCTTTATTCATCAAGTGTATATTAGTTTAAAGGTAAAATGTCATATTTTTAAAATTACTATCTAGCTACAATTATAATTATTCCTTTTCTGAATTCAGTTTATAGATTCTACCAAATGCTAAAGAAGCTATAAAATATTCTCCAGTCACACACCTAGCAAATACATTTCCATGGGTTCTGCATTAAATAAAAATAAATTATTTTTCATCAACATCTTATAATACATTCATCGGATCCAATACATGAGAAGTAAGTCCACACTTGAGTTCTAGATCATAAAAACTAATCAAAATATGAAGCATTTTGATATGGTGTTAATTTGTTTTATTTAACTAAATTACTTCTAGTTAGCAAATATTAACACTGTAGGTAAACTGAATGGTTTAAATTAACCTTATTTTTATTAATTTCAAAGCAAAATAAATAAAATAGATAATAGTTTGAAATTTTTCATCTTATAACTTGTAAAAAGATACTGGAAGGTTTTATTTCTAAAAGGTTCTAACACATGTGTGAATTCCATCAATCCTAATAAATAACTCAAAGTCATTGGGTTACTTTATACAATAAGACAGAAACAAGCTGAGAGATTAATGCAATTATCATATTCTGCATTATCCATAGAGTTAGAAATAAATGAGTAAAAGTGAGCGTACATTTTTGCAAGAGGAATAAACCATGGTAAAGCATAAATTTGTAATTTACTTGGTACTTCATATTATAAACTCCTGTTAAGCTTAAGTGTGATAGTGTTCAGTTTACAAAGAATTAGTATTATGAATAATTCAGATAAACCAGAGGCACCATTCACTTACCCAAGAAAATAAGCACTATCATGCTGGACAACTCACGGCTGTTCACCTGGAAAAAAAGGCAGATGTGTTTCTTCTGACAACTTTCTTAACAGTAACTGTACAGAATAAGGCTTCAGCCTCAGTGTTTGCTTCCTAAAGGCATTACCAGTTCAAGTCAGCTTCCTGGGTCATCATTTCCTCCCTAGTGTTTCCTAAGCTGTGAACTGTTCTAATTATATTCAAATTCAATTATTCTCCTGAGGGTGCTGGTCTTGGATAGTAGGATATTATGCCTCGGAGAAAGCCCATGAGCCAAATACTAAGAGAAATGATACATAATCTGCACATTCATGAAAAAGGTTTACTTTCCTTAACTAAAATACTACACTACTTAAAAGCCTCCCAAATATGACTCCAAATTTTCACAGACACTTGGGCATACTCAGTTTCCACTTTTTTAATTAGCTTCATTAAGGCAATTTCATGTCATTTGAGGAAACAGAAAGGCAGAAAAGGCATAATAGCCCTGGAAAATGTATGCGAAATCCAAGTTATACTAGAATTAGCCTGATATACCTCATACATACTGAGAAGCTGCTTCCCAAACTATGTTGTATTACATGTGCCACAAACCCCAGTATGCTTAAAAATTATGCCACTTCAGCTACAGTATCTAATACCCTTCAAATACAGCTACAGTGTTAAAAAAAAAAAAAAAAAAAAAAAAAAAACTCTTCCCAGTGATGCAGAAATTCCATGTTCCACTGGAAAGTAATCATCTACATTTGTGCTCATCTCTTGACAACTATTTTTTTTCCTAGTTTCAATGAAGGGACTTATATATCTTATGTCTTAGTTTGGCTATGACCTTCTTCATGTAAACCTACAGCATATCATCTTTCTCGGGGTGCCATGAGACTTCTATTTTTAAATCACCTGGAAGCCTTTCTATAATGAACGCTCAAAAAAAATATAAAATGCTGCTTCAGCAAGAAATTAAGACGATATAGGGATGGGAGAGAAGTATTTGTGCAGTTACACAACTGAGTTTTTGATTGCATATTGTTCATGTTTATTTTATGCCAGTAGAGAAGTTATACTATATTTCATTTTCCGCAGGCGTAATGAAAAAACACAGACTCTAGAGTCCAACAAACAAAAATTATAACACTGCTTTTCTCTGTAGATCTAGATGAGGGACTTAACTTTGGAAGTTATTCACTCCTCTGTAAAATGTGTTGATTGTGTTAATGCCTGCTGTAATATAAAGTATGTATATGAGGGGCTTACATCACACAAAAAATTGATTATATTACATTCACTGAATTAATTATTACATAACAGAATGATTATAATATCATAACATTAATCAATCTTTTCTTCATTTCAAGGGATTGAGTCATTAAACTTTCCTAATGACTTCTACCAAGATAATTGTTCTTTTTGATATAAGCCAACTTAACAGGACTTAAGCTAGGACAGACTTGGTTACTACCATAGTTGAAGAGTCCAGGGGAAGAATTAAATTTGGGCGTGTTTTAAATTGTTTTTTTCTGGGTCTAAGTTGTTTGTTTCCTCCTGTCTCTTAGCTGCATTCTTCTCTACCAGTCGTATTCCCAGAAAGGCTATTTCCTTCTGGTGGGAAGATGGCTGTGAAGTCCTTGGCAAACATCCTTCTCTCTTAGAAAACAGAGTAGAAAGTGTGATTCTTTTCCTATTAAAGTTGCAGAATTAAGTTACATCAGTTCTAGATGTGTCAAGTGCCAATCAGTTTTACAAAAGGAACTTACCCCATGTCCAGTATCATAGATATAGGTTGTCAGTGGAGTTGGCCCTATTCAAAGCACAGAATCTGATGGTGCAGAAGGGGTGCATCATGAAGGAAAATTATGGTATTAGAAGAAGCAGCTGAAGGGATCTTGGGGCAGCAAAAACCACATACTTAGTAAAGCATCTAAGTACTGAGTTTAAGAACAAAAAACACAAGGAAAATAAACTTACGAAACAAAGGAAGAGAGTAACATATCTTTCTGTTCAAGGAAGGTGATATAATTATGATTTTCTAGAGTGCAGTGATACACAGATCCTGAATGTAAGACTCAGTGACTAGTGCTAATCTTTGCCAAACAAGTACAGCTGCTGAGGTCCATAACTTATAGGTATAGAAAACACCTGTGGTCATATGGCTGCTTATCCAAAACAAAATAACATTGGCTGTATTACCATTGAATGCCTGTTCATTGAGCCATCAGTCCTCTTTGTGTATAGACTCCTTCTCAGAATAATATTTTAAGGGCAAAACATTTTTAAAAGAATATAAAGAAATTAAGTATGTTAAAACATATTTGTCAAAATGTTTTACATTTGTGATAAAGTAATATATATGCTTTATCATTGCAGAAGTAAATATCAAGATCCAAGTAACTCTAAAAATACTGTCGTTTCAGTGTAGTGATTATCATAGACCCTAATTTGAGAGAACTTCCACAAATAAAATGTTATATAACAATATCTGTAATTTCTATTAGGGACAAAGATAGCACAGGAAGTACTAAATTTCAATAAGTTGAGTAAAGAGATAACACAATTTTACCCCAAGCAAATTATAGACACCTCAAATTAATAAAGCCCAATTTAATGTCAATGAAAATAATACTTTCATTTAAATGAAAGCTGCTATTGAATCAGAACATTTTAGAGATAGAATTATCAATTTTGATAGTTTCTAATTATAATGTGTGCCTGATTTTAAAATGTATTCTACATTTCAAGTAAAATGTTGTAATATATAAATGAAACAGAAGAAAGTACAGCTGCTCTGGTGGGAATTTTCATGAGTAGTCCTAAGCTCTACTTATTGGGCTTTGTAAGCACATCCACAGCTGCTACTGAGGCATCCAAAGGCTCTGAAATTCCCATTCAAAATTCCCTAAATTGATGTAATTGCTTTTGATAAACTTTGTTTTAGCTAACGTATCATTCTCATGACAGTTAAATGCACTAGACCTCACACCTTGGCAAAAGACATGTAATATTTACTAGAAGACTTTTGTGTCAAGGACTCTACAAAAACAAAAATGAGGAACAGACACTAGTTGCATGAATTGGATAAACTAGAATACAAATTAAGCTACATAAAAAAAGAGAAAAAAAGAAAAAATATTAAATAAAACTCTGATAAATCAGTAAGAAACACTTCATATTAAAGGGTATTTCTTTTTGGAACATAAAGTTGTTTAAATCTTTTGTTCAATGACATTCGACTTCCTCCAATCACCTTTGCATTACCACTATATCTGTCTACTTAAAACTTTTGTAGCATGTTACTGTCTGGAGGAGTCTTTTCAGATCTAGCCAACCTAAAATTGACATTTCTAAAAAGAATACATACATATGTCATGAGTTTCTTGGCTAAAAGACCTGTAAACAGAGTTCTCAGACACCGAGTAATAAAAACAGACACGATGCAGTATTTTTTGGAGAAATTTAAAAATACTCTTGCGGTTTTTTTATTGGAGGATCTCACCAAAATAATAAAAGAAGAATAATAATAATTAGGTTTACTTGATCACCTCACCATAACTTGCCCATCAAACTCCTCACTAACAGCCTGATGAGGTGTGGCCAGGAGTGGAGGGACAAGGCAGCCAAAATCAGGAGAAGCTGAGAAACCACAAAGAGGCAAGACTCTGAGGTTTGTTCTGCGGACTTCAGATGGACTAACATTACTGAGACTCAGTGGATGAAGAGGAAAATATAAGTGCTAATTATGGGTGGCCTTTTATGCTTCACCAAGAAGACTAACAGAAGAAAGAGAGGCTTTTGGTGAGTTCCAAAAGGGAGTAACCTGGTTGGGTTTTGAAAAATTGCTTAAGCAATGCTATGGAAGATGGTTTGGAAACAAGGTAAATTGCCTGTCACGAAGCTATGTCAGTAGTTTAGGGGAGAATGACAAGGGCTGAACTAAAAGTAGCAATGATGAAGAGAAAATGGCAGGTACAAGAAATGTCAGAATTTAAAATTTCCAGGATCTGGAGACCAGTTGAGATGATGGGCAGGTTGAGAAGGAGGAGGAATGAATTCTTACTTTTGTTTTGTGTGACTTGGTGTTGGTTGTCACCATTTATCAAGGCACAAGGCTCACAATTCAGTGCTCTATATACAAAATCATTCAATCCACTGATTAAGTTAAAAATTATGATTAAACAGCCATTCCTTTGGCTCATGTCATCATTTGGGAAGACAGGCTGTCTGTCTTCAAGAGAACCAAAACAGCTCCAAAAAATAAGATTGGATTGCCTTAGAGGATTAGTATTAAGTTCTGGCCCTCAATCTAGCAGGAAATCAAGAATGGATTCATT